TTCCAGGTTGGTTGCATGTTGGACTCCTTTTCTCCCCTGAAAACACAGCAGCCCTGTTATTTCAGAGAAGCTGAGGGTGGTGCTTGTGGCTCTGTCACTTGCAGCACGCTCGGCATGGCAGTTCTAAGTGGTGGAATTAGGTACTGACCACATTTGCACAAATTTGCCAAACTTACTTTGTTTTCTGCTGCCTCTTGGCTCTTTTTTTCTTTCTGGATTCTGCATCTGGGCTTGATTCTTTGCAGCACTAGGGTAATTGCAATCAAAAGGGGAAACAGAAGTTCTTTCTCTTCAGTGTAAAAGTTAACCCCACAATGTAAGAATTCCCTTGTTGGTGTTGTCTGGTAGGAGGTGCCTGTTACTAACTCTGTGTCCATAAGCACAGGAGGAATGTAATCACTCCAAGATTGACTTTTTCTAGGAATTCTGTTGCCCCAAAATCCAAGGTGGGCTTGTGACCGCACGATGACTCCGTGTTGTGTGGGGCAGCACAGACCCCAACCTGCTCTCTCTTGTCTCTCCCTTTCCTGCAGTCCCAGTACAAGAGTCACTTTGTTGCTGCAAGTTTAAATAACCAAAAGACTGGGAGCTCTGCCGCTGGTGCCAGCGGCTGGACCAGCGCCGGGAGCCTGAACTCCGTCCCGACGAGTTCGGCGCAGCAAAGCGCCGCCAGTGCCGAGAGCCCCATGGCAGCCACGGCAGCAAAGGGAGTGCCAGGCTTCACCAGCACGGGCAGCCTGAGCAGCGTGCCCCCCTTCCCCAGCGCGGCAGCGCAGGGCTTCAGCAGCACAAACAGCAGCGCCAACAGCCGGGAGGGCGGCGGCATCGCCAGAGAACGGTACAACGACAGCCGCAACAGCCGGCACGGCGAGGCCCCGCGGCGCGCTGAGGGGGCTGCTGGCCGGGGGGAGGGGGCTGCTGGCCGAGGGGAGGGCAGTGGTGGCCGAGGGGAGGGCGGTGGTGGCCGCTTTAACGATGGTCAGCGCTTTAACGATGGTCAGCGCTTTAACGATGGTCAGCGCTTCAACGAGGGCCAACGCTTTAACGAGGGCCAACGCTTCAATGATGGCCAGCGTTTTACTGAAGGCCAACGCTTCAGCGATGGTCAGCGCTTTAATGAGGGTCAGCGCTTCAATGATGGTCAGCGCTTCAATGATAGCCAACGTTTCACCGAGGGCCAGCGCTTCAACGATGGCCAGCGCTTTAATGAGGGCCAGCGTTTTAATGAGGGTCAGCGCTTTAATGAGGGCCAGCGCTTCAACGATGGCCAGCGTTTCACTGAGGGCCAACGCTTCAGTGATGGCCAACGCTTCAATGATGGCCAGCGTTTTAATGAGGGCCAGCGTTTTAATGAGGCCCAGCGCTTCAGCGATGGTCAGCGCTTTAATGAGGGCCAGCGTTTCAATGATGGTCAGCGTTTCCCCGAGGGCCAGCGCTACAGCGAGGGCCAGCGTTACACCGACGGGCAGCGCCACGGCGAGGGCGGCGGCCGGCACGGCGACCCCTCCCGGCACAGCGACGGCCGCCACGGCGACGCCCATCGCCACGGCGAGGGCCGGCACTTCAGCGACTTGCCGGGCACCAACCGCAACAACGGCGACAGCAGGAACAGCGAGAGCAGGAACGGGGAGAACAGGAAGGAGGCCAACAGCCGAGACAACAAGACAGATGGCTTTGCTGTCCCAGAGCCCCCAAAACGGAAGAAGAGCCGGTGGGACAGTTAAAAGCTGGGGGTTCACAGCCTGGAATCTCTGCAGGTGGTGGTGACGTTTTCCAGAGGATTTCTGGGGGTTGTTGGGAACTGGTTGTTGAGCAGCTGGGGCAGGAGAAGGAAACCATGAGAACCCCGGTGCGAGTTCACCTGCGGGCAGACTCCCCCGAATGAAGTGCACACAACACTCAGTGAAAGAAATCATTTTGATAAAGCTCCCTGGGTTCTGCTTTGAAACATTCAGTGCTCGAGTGACTCTGCTGGATTTAAACAGATCTTCTTGACAAAAAGAAGCTGTTCCACATCCTTGGAACCTTAAGAAACTGTTGTCAATAGAGGTATAAATTAGTCTTTTCTTAACCAGCGTTCACATTTACAAACCAGTCCAGTCCACCTAGAGATGCTCAGGACCTGCCTGTTAGACATTAATCTTGCAGCAGTTTGGTCAGTATGGTGAGTTCTTCCTCCATCTCCTTTTCACACATTATCCCCAAATAATTTGGTCTCCAGGTTACCCTTTACCTCTCTCCTCATCCACTAAAAACGTATCAATTTGCTTTGCTAAGGTGGGGCAGAGCAAGTTGGTTTCATTTTTTTGGTTTTTTTTTCTTTTGTTTTTTTTATTTGTTTTGTTTTGGGTTTTTTTTGGTGTGTGTGGAGCTGTTTGAGGGATCTCTCTCCATCCCAGCAAACCACAAATCCACTTGTAGTGTAGGTTGGACTCCCTGGCTTATTTGTGGTCAGTACTTTAATTCCAATCCCATTGCCCAGATATTTTTTTCTTTTGAAGAACCTTCTGTTTTCTAATATCCTTCATTCTGGTGGAAGCCTGCATAGCAAACCTGTGTCTCTGCTGTGCCTATGCACCCTCTGTTCTGAGAGGGTTGAGTGCTTTCTTCAAATTAAAAACAAAAAAGGGAAGACAATGTAGATAGACCACAACAATCAGAGGCTGGAGCCCCCCAGGAAGTGTGGCTAAAGGAAGAAGATTCAGAAATTCAGGGATCTGTTGCTCAGAAGCCTTTAGGGAGAACTCAGAAAACAATAAAAGAAAAGAAACAGCTCAAATCTGGCCTTGTTTTGGACACATGTAGTAAATCTGTAAAATCTTGCCTGCCCATTTTTAACTCATTGTGTGTATTCCCATTTTTTAACTTCTTTTTTTTTTTTGCCACAAGGTAGGGAAGAACTTTTCAGTTGGGACCTGTCAGCACCCACCGCTGGCTCGTTTCCACTGGAAGATGTACCAGAAGCTGTCAGGGTTTTGTGACATTGTGATGTTTTCTTTATCAGCTGTGCATTTACTTTCTGCTTGCTCTAGTAAATGTTTTATTACTGGTACAAAAATATGCAGCATGTGCTTTTTATTCTCCTCTTCCTTTAGCTGTCCTGATGTGCAAATGGAGAGGTGACAGTCTGGAGATCTGACTGTGTCTGTATCAACAGAAGTTGTGGATTGTAGTTGATAAAATACTTCCTGTGGTTTTTCTTAGTATCTTTCACCCCAAAATGTTTCACAAACCCTGTTTTAGCTTCAAGGTCTCCTGAAGAATAGATTTTTCTCCACTTTATAAGAGGAAAGGATACAGCCCAGAGCATGTGATTGATTTCCCCCAACTTTTCATGGGGTCCTGGGCAGACCTGGAAAGAGAGCTCAGCAACAGTCCCAGGATCTGACACCTGAACTGGCTGCAGTTCAGACACCACAGGATTATTTGGGCCCCCTCAGAAACCAGCTCTGATCTGCTGGAGCTTTATTTAAAACAGTTTCCAGAATTCCCTCCCCACAGTCTGGGCAGGAATTGTTGCCCTGGTTTGAGCTCTGCACGTTCAGTGTGAACACAAGGGTGTTTCAGGGCAGACTGGCAGGGCTTTACAAGCTGTTGTGTTCCCCTTCTCACCCTGAAGGTTCATTGCTGCAATTAAAGATTGGAGTTTCAAAACAAAATGTAAAATCAGCCCCATGGTCTGAGCTGCCATCTGCTCCTCCCTGCCACGGGGAGCCAGCCCCATGTGAGGCACATGCTGGGGCTTCTCCCCTTGTTAACACTTCCCTCTGCTCCTGGTAGGATTATTGGAATTCCTCACCCCTCTCCCACCTCCCAGGAGCCTCTTGGGAAGAGAGTGATTAAATATTGATCAGTGCCAGGGAGCACAGATGTCAGCTTGCAGGGCTGTGTGAGGGCCATGGCAGGGCTGCTTCCTTCCCTGGGAACAAGGGAGCAGTGTGAGCAGCATTCCAGCTGCCCTCACAGGGGCTCTGGTGTCTTCCAAAGAGTTTAATTCCTTCCAAGAGATGATTTTAAATATGTACATCCCAGAGCCCTTCCCTGACATGCTCCTGGCTCTTTGTCCCTCCATTCCCTGTGACTCACTTTGCACCATAGCTTTTCACTGGAGGATATGGCAGTGCACACAGTTATTTACCTGGTGCCTGTCCTTAGCAAGAAATTCCTGCCTTGAGGAGCTGTGTAGGAAGAAGATGCTCCATGCTACCACCACCATGCTGTTTAATTTACCTGCCATCTACACAGCTCCTTGGGAAAGCTTTTCCCAGCAGGGCAGGGGCAGAGGGAGAGCAGACCAGGCTGGAATACAAGGATGGAAACAAGCCAGACAGACTCTCTTTATTCACTTCTTAACCTGCAATGAGATGACAGGGCCACGACAGTTGCATGCAGGGGCCTTTGTGGTGATGGATGAAGTGTTGGGGGTTCAAGTGTTCCCTGCACCCTTCCAGGCCATAAAGTTTGTCCTGCCTCCTTCATCCCACCCTGTCCCAGTGCCTCCCGCTCCAGTTTGTGGCAGTGTGTTGGTGTTCACTCCATCCATGAGGGCAGGGTGAGGAGCAGAACAGCCCCACGGGCACTCTGTGCTCCCCCTGGCTGGACAAGGCTGGAGCTGGTGCTGGGTTGGGGAGTCTGAGGCAGGATCTGGCTCATGGGATGGGCTCCATCCCCCTGGAGAAGTCACCTCCCACCTGTGGGGGTAGGAGCGAGCACGGTGCTGTCTCCTGGTGAGGACTCAAGGCTTTGCACGCACAGAGATCACATCAGTCACTTGCACGTGGAGGAGAATGAGGTTTATGGCTTGTTTTTGGGCCGGGGTGGAGGAGGAGCGAGAGTTCGTGGTCCCTTTGCACCCTGGTTCTGATGGAAAGGGAGCTGGGTTGTTCTGGCTGCTGTCCCAGCCCTGGCTCTCCATGCAAGTGTAAGCAGAGCCCGAAGTGGGAGGATCAGCTTCCTTCCAGGCCCATCTGCATGCCCAGGTGAGAAATCCACCCTCTTGTTCACAGCATCGTCTCCAGCTCCTTGCTGGGCTTGGGCTGGCACTGAGTCAGCTCTGTCAAATCCCCCGTGGGCTCCCCCCGGCCCCTCTGGCTCGGTTCCTGCGCGGGGATGGAGCCGGGGATGGAGCCGGGCGGGCGGGGCCGGGTCGGGAGCAGCAGCCCCCGGGTGCCGCCCGCTGCCCGCCCCGCCAGGCCGGTGCTGAGGCTCCGCGGGGCCCCGCAGCCCCCGGGGCCGGAGCAGCAGCAGCTCCCGGGCCGCGCCGGCTGCCCCAAGTGCAGCGCCAGGAGCCTGCGGAAATGAGCCTTCCTGATCTCGGCCTGCACCTGGGGGAGCAGAGGGGGTGCTGTGCCCGAGACAGCAAAACCGCCTTGCCTTGCCCTTTTCCCTTCCCTCTTCCCTCCCTTTCCCTCCAAATCCTATTGAGAGGGACCCATCTGAGCTTTTTGCTCTGGTTATCACAGCCCGGGGCTGGAACAGGGAGCTTTAGCTCCTCACTCTTCCCACTTACCTCCCCGTTGCAAAAGCAGTAGATAAAAGCCACAAAGAAACCCTGCCAAGAGACCAAAAGAGGTGGAGAGTGAGGTCCCTGAGGCTCCCTGCATGAACATCCCTCAGTGCTGGGAGTGCCAGCCCACCTGGGAGGAGTTAAAGAGCATCTCGTAGTGCATCTGGATCTGCCACAGGAGCCCGGAGACCTCGGTGTAGGGCATGGCCATGAACACCACGTAGTGCACTCCGAAAAGCGGCATCAGCACCAGCGTGGACTTGAGCAGCTTCCTGAAAGGAGAGACCTCAGAGCCATTCCCAGGGCCTGCAGGGCAGCCCCCAGCCCCGCAGTGGCCAGGCTGGAGGTGGGAGCAGGAAGAGCTCAGAACTCCAGAGCCAGGCCTCAATCCAGTGGCTGCCACTGTCCTGCCACCCTTCCTCACTCCTGCAGCCCTTCCCACAGCTCTGCTCCTCCTCCTCGGGGAGCCCTCCGGGCTGAACAGGCAGGACACGAGGCTTTGGGGCTGCCTGCACTTGCCTGTACTGCTGCCTGGGGTCCAGCTTGCCCGTGGTGCTCTCCCAGAGCTTGGAGGCCAACACCCGGACGATGTTGAGGAAGAGGAAGAAGTTCACCTGCCAAGAGACACCCAGGGTGGTGGTGGGGTCTGCCCGAGGAGCCGCAGGGACACAGACGGGCAGGGACATGGCAGTGATGCTTGGTCAGAGCAGGAGGGAGCAGAGCCCCTGGATCCCTCTGGGCTCTCCCTGGGTGCTGGAGTGCCTGTGTTGTAGTGTGTTGTTAAGTTTCTTGTGTTATTCCCCCAATTTATGTATTGTTCTCCCCTATTATGTGTAAAATGGTTTCGT